ATAAATCTCAGCAAGATCTTTCTTGGCCCACCTCCTAGAGTAATGGAAATAAAAACAAAAATAAACAAATGGGACCTAATGAAACTTAAAAACTTTTGCACAGTGAAGGAAACTATAACCAAGACAAAAAGACAACCCTCAGAATGGGAGAAAATATTTTCAAACGAAGCAACTGACAAAGGATTAATCTTCAAAATATACAAGCAGCTCATACAGCTCAATATCAAAAAACAAACAACCCAATCCAAAAATGGGCAGAAGACCTACATAGACATTTCTCCAGAGAAGATATACAGATTGCCAACAAACACATGAAAGGATGCTCAACATCACTAATCACTAGAGAAATGCAAATCAAAACTACAATGAGGTATTACCTTACACCAGTCAGAATACCCATCATCAAAAAATCTGTAAACAATAAATGCTGGAGAAGGTGTGGAGAAAAGGGAACCCTCTTGCACTGTTGGTGGGAGTGTAAATTGATACAGCCACTATGGAGAACAGTATGGAGGTTCCTTAAAAAATGAAAAATAGGGGCTTCCCTGGTGGCGCAGTGGTTGAGAGTCTGCCTGCCGATGCAGGGGACGTGGGTTCGTGCCCTGGTCTGGGGGGATCCCACATGCTGCGGAGCAGCTAGGCCTGTGAGCCATGGCCACTGAGCCTGTGCGTCCAGAGCCTGTGCTCCGCAGTGGGAGAGGTCACAACAGTGAGAGGTCCGCGTACCACAAAAAAAAAAAAAAAAAACGAAAAATAGAACTACCATATGACCCAGCAATCCCACTACTGGGCATATACCCTGAGAAAACCGTAATTCAAAAAGAGTCATGTACCACAATATTCATTGCAGCTCTATTTACAATATCCAGGACATGGAAGCAACCTAAGTGTCCATCAACAGATGAATGGATAAAGAAGATATAGTACATATATGCAATGGAATATTACTCAGCCATAAAAAGAAATGAAATTGAGTTATTTGTAGTGAGTTGGATGGACCTAGACACTGTCATACAGAGTGAAGTAAGTCAGAAAGAGAAAAACAAATACCGTATGCTAACACATATATATGGAATCTAAAAAAAAAAAATGGTTCTAAAGAACCTAGGGGCAGGACAGGAATAAAGACACAGACGTAGAGAATGGACTTGAGGACACGGGGAGGGGGAAGGGTAAGCTGTGACAAAGTGAGAGAGTGGCATGGACATATATACACTACCAAATGTAAAATAGATAGCTAATGGGAAGCAGCCACATGGCACAGGGAGATCAGCTTGGTGCTTTGTGTCCACCTAGAGGGGTGGGATAGGGAGGGTGGGAGGGAGACGCAAGAGAGAGGAGATATGGTGATATATATATATGTATAGCTGATTCACTTTGTTATACAGCAGAAACTAACACACCATTGTAAATCAATTATACTCCAATAAAGATTTAAAAAAAAAAAAAAGAAGTAAATAGCATCACACTGAAAAAGAAAAAAATAAAAGACACATGCACCCAATGTTCATTGCAGCACTATTTACAATAGCCAGGTCATGGAAGCAACCTAAATGCCCATCAACAGACGAATGGGTAAAGAAGATGTGGTACATATACACACTGGAATATTACTCAGCCATAAAAAGGAACGAAACTGAGTCATTTGTAGAGACATGGATGGACCTAGAGACTGTCATACAGAGGGAAGTAAGACAGAAAGAGAAAAACAAATATCGTATATTAATGCATATATGTGGAATCTATAAAAATGGTACAGATGAATCGTTTTGCAAGGCAGAAATAGAGACACAGATGTAGAGAACAAACGTATGGACACCAAGGGGGGAAAGGTGGTGGTGGGGGTTGGTGGGGGATGAACTGGGAGATTGGGATTGACATATATACACTAATATGTATAAAATAGATAACCAATAAGACACTGCTGTATAAAAAATATAAAATAAAATTCAAAAAATAAAAGGTATTAATGGAAAGAAGTAAAGCTTAAGGAGTTTTCACTGAGTACTGGTTAGCCATATGAAAATTAAGTCTTCATTAAGATAGTCCTTACTGAAAACAATGGAAAATTAAAAATGTGTCGTATACTGTCAAATATAGTATATAAGGAGTGCTTATATTCAGCACTCCTTTCCTTGTCAAATTCTGCCATTTGTCATGATTCTAAATCTCCTTTGGAAAAGGCAGTAATTAGACATAAAATACCATTTGTTGATTGTCACAAATATGCCATAAAAACTGACCTTATATGTGGTAATCACACAAGATTATGCAAAATGTAATGAAACAACTTATCATGCTTAGCATTTTTCTTGCCACCCAGCACAGATCTATACTTTAGAATTTTAGAAGTAGCTTAAGTAAGAGAGAGCCTAAATCACCAAGACATTCTTTCCACTGACTGCCCCAAGTATCATTCCCATGAGCATTGTCCCACCATAGAAGGGATTTAGTAAGTATTTTCAGAATTATGACAGTAGCCAATATTGGTATGGTGCTAGGCCCTATGTATCAGCCCCCATACTAGCATTTCCACGTTAATACACTTCTTGCCCATGGCTGGATGTGGAAGACCCATCCATGAGTAAGAAGAGTCAGATAGCTCTTTTCAAATCCCCCTCTTGTCAAATGACTGTAGTATGACCTTGGGCAAGTTATTTAACCTCTTTTTTCACACTTGCCTCATCTGGAAAATGGGGTATTTCATGGGATTGTTATGACCATTAGAGTAATTAATGTATGTAAAGTGCTTTAAAAGCGCCTGGTGCATTGAATGTGCAATTTAAGTGTGATATAAGCCATTATCACTTAATTATATAATTGCAGTAATATTACATTATTATATAGAGATTATGTAGAGATGTGGATGGACCTAGAGACTGTCATACAGAGGGAAGTAAGGCAGAAAGAGAAAAACAAATATCGTATATTAATGCGTATATGTGGAATCTATATAATATAGAACAGTATACAATATTGATACAAACTACGCTTATTATTATCCAAAATGTGAGCTCGGTATCCTGAAGGTGCACATACCCTAGTAGGCACCTGCAGCATTACCCCAGAGCAGTTTCAGAAAAAAAACACAATACCTGGTGGAATTGAACCATGAGGTATGTGGCTCCCTGCGGACTGTAAACATCCAAAACAAAAACACTCATTTTGTGTACTGCAGTAAGCTCTGGGTAGGTACATCTTGTCCCAAACATCAAGTGTCAGCACATCAGGAAGACAGTCTTTCTCCAAGGGAAGCAATTTGGAGTCTGTTGAAACTAGAACACTTTTGCAGTGTTCCAAAGTCCCCACTTAAACCATAAGAACTCCTTTTCCTTGTAAGCCCATCAGTACTTTATGTAATGTCTATAGAGATTCAGTTCATAGCTATTTTGGCTTCTGCTGAGAGGCTATCAGGAGAGAACACCATCCAGCAATTTCTGTACCCTCACTCCTTCTTCAAGAGACACAGCATTTAGTTGTTCAAGGCCTATAACTTTGTTCCAAAAACTAACAAGGGTCCCTCCTTCAAACTCCTCTTAGAGACCCTTAGAATCAGTGACTGGTCTCAGAGACAGGGCACAAATTCAGGAAGTCTAGGCTGTACTGGCCAGGCTAGATCATCCAGCTATGTGATTTTTACAGGAATTCAAGGAGGAAGTAGTTGTTGCTGTCTGTGTGGGTCAGCAAAGGCTGTAGCCCATGGGAAACTTTTGGATAGAACTTTCCAAGAAGCAAAACAGGGGCGGAGTATTCCAGGCACCGGGGAAAATGGAATCTACATTGAGATTTTGAAGGTGCATGACATATTTCTGTGATCTGAATCTAAGCAAGCAGAAGGAGTTTACCCGCTGAGAAAACCACAGGGCACCTGGGGGCCACACTCCTTTCTGCTCTGATCCCTAGATTTTGCCACCTGGTGAGCTATTCCTGTCAATAGCATCAGTCCTTTCTTATCGTACCTTTTCTCAGAAATCTTTCTGTATTTCTTGATTTGTGTAAATGTCGGACTAACTGAACTACCTTTCAGACCAAAATAGGGGGCTTACTTACCTGCCGATATATAGTATCATAGTTTTAGAATTTTCTCAGAGATGCTAAGCCTAGGAAAACCCACAGAGCTTTCTAGTTACTCCGTTCAGGGAACAAGCCAGGTACGCTTCTTACCCCTGCCTCTTGGTTAGTTGAGGCTTTTGGGGGAGACAGTAGCCATCTGCCGCTCTCAGAAACAGTCTCATCATCCCTCAAAACCATCCGGGAAGGATGCCCTTCTTGTAGTAAATTGGCCCTACCACTGTCAGAGAAGACGGAGCTGAGGCAGGAGGGGAGAGGCGTCCAAAGCAAATCCTGTAGACACACTGCCCTTCATGTCCTGTGATTCTTGTCTTTCACCTCGGGAAGGAAATGACAGCAAAATGCTGTGCCCCTCTCCTGCCTGGAGAAACGGATTCTAGGGGGAAGGAGACCATAGCACCTTTTGTCCATAAGAGAAACCTGTAATATGAAGTGTGTAAACGTGGAGGGTAAGACTGCCTGCTAGCAACCGCCAGCTTCACCACATATGACCACTGTGACATCGGACAAATTAATTAACCTCTCTGTGCCCTAGGTTTTTGACCCATAAAATGGTGATGGATACTAGTAGTTGACCTACTTTCTTAACTATAAAATAGGGATACTGGATGATGACGATTAAATGATGTAGAGCACTTGGCATACTAACCAAAATGCCTGCTAAGTAGTAAGCACTCACTAAGATTGTTCCAGGAATAATGAGCAAGTGTAGGGGGGACAGGGATTAAGCAAAACTGCGGGTAGGCATTGGTGATTACTTAAAATAACCACATGGAGTTATTTTAAAGGTAGGCATTCTGAGTCGAGTCACCAAAAAGCAGAAAAGTCCTCAGAAGCTTGACCGTAACCTCCCAAAGAGGAACAATCAATTTTTGAAAACTTGTCTTAAAAAATAGCCTTGGCTTGTATATGATGAGATACTAGATCTTATGTTCTGTGGCCTGTGTCGTAAACATGGAGTGAAGTCGAAGGGAAACCAAGTGAGTTTTTTTTATGGCACCAACAACTTCCGGACTGAATTTCTCAACGCGCACCATCTCAGCCAGGCTCACACCAAGGCTTCCCTCGTGGAAGTGACAAGAGGTTCCCCAGGGAGCAAAACCACCACGGAGCTGATGGTGATGACCATGAGCAAGGTTACCCTCAGGAGGGTGGAGAACTTGTTCCCATCCTGCCACGCCACCGCCAAGACCGGACGTCCCCTCAATGATTTTATCTGGATGTGCTCGTTAGATGATATGAAGGGTGATGATACTGGCCCGGTATTCAGAACGAACAAATCGGCCACAACATTTACATAGTTTATTGCTGAAGTAGAACAGCGAACTCTAAGAGAGACATTAGAAAAAAGTAAGTTTTTCTCCGTCCTCAGTGATGGGATCACAGACAGTTCAATCGAGGAAGCTGACCTTGTGTACAAGCAGTGAGCGTGCTCAGGGAAAGGACACTGCCAAATCGTTGGGGTACAGACAGGGGGAAAGAAGGGACCTCTGGCAATAAAACATGCCCCTGAGAACACTCTAATGAGAAATCTTCAACTTCGACTATCGAACCAAGACTGGGCAAAGAAACTGGTTGGTTTCGCAAGTGATGGTGCCCATGGCTCAGAGCGAGAAGACGGCAGTGGGGTGGCCCTGCTTTTAAGAGAAATCCAGCCACGTGCGCTGACTGTGTATTGCTCTGCGCATCATCTCGAGGTATCTTACAAAGCGGCGTTCCAGAGCATTCCCCTGTACAACGATGTCAGAGACCTTCTCCGCAGCACTTACCACTTCTATCACAATTCTCCTGTTCATAAGAGTGCTCTGGTACTTTCAAAGGCCTTCACCTTCGACCTGTGATACCTTCTCAACTAGGAGGCTGGAGGTGGCTTCAAGGATTACAGGCCTCCCTCCAGAATCTTCTCAAAGGATATCAATTGTCCAGCAGCTGCATTCGGTAAGTAATTTTGAAATACTGTACTATTTTAGTTTTTTCAGAATAAAAAGAATACTTTTACTTTTATTTGAAATAATAATTTTGAGAAAGATAAACCACTGTTTTTTCCTAGCCCATGTTACAGAAAAGGGAAGGCAGAAGTGACACCAATCATCAGAAAGCCAAAGACCTTGTAGAGTCCCTCCTGCAGGCAGACATTGTTAAATTTGTCCACTTCTTGCTGGGTGTCACTGATGTCCTCAGCATTCTGTCCCGCATCAATCAGAACAGAAACTCTTCAATTGCTGATATATTTGCCACCCTAGAGTCAACACTGGAAATGCTCAGAATATATCAGACAAGGTGAGGAGTCTGGGATGATCTGAGAGTCTATCCAACCAGACAGATGGACTTGGGAAACCATTTGCTACGTGCTTTTGCACATAATTGTCTACTTGGGGGATTTTTTTTTTCCCCTCCCCAGACCAGGGCCAAAAGAACGCCCAGTGGATTCAGTCACACACTTTCAGGGTAACTGCCTCCTCGCAGGAAAGCGAAACATTTCTGATGTGAGAAACATGGTTTTAACACATCTTATCAAGAGGCTGCGAGGCTGTTTCAGAGATGTCAACCAAGATGTGGTGAAGGCAGCCACGACTGGGAGCTTTAAACTGCGGCCAGCAAAGATAAATCAAGGTAACGTATGAACTCCGGCTCTGAATCTGTTGTTCTTTGATTGTCTGTATACATGTCTTTAAGATATGTGATGTTTTGTTGGGCGTATTGATTGCAGAATTTGGAGAAAAAGAGGTGTCCATCCTGATTGCACATTATGAACCAGTATTAGAAGCTGCCAAGGTGAAAATTGACGAAGTAGACACAGAAAGGAGCATGTTGAAATTAGAGATTTATGCTAGGTGAGCATAAGTAACCTAGTTGATATTTATAAATATTGGAATAAAACTTAGGAGTCTCGATCTTTTACATTTTTCATTTTTCCTCCTAGATTTCAGAACATCCACACATTGACCTGGGATTCTGTGAATTCTGTTTAGTTACACAAGTATCCGAACATCCTAACACTCGTGGACCTAGTGCTGAGCCTCCTTGCAAGTTCAGCTGAAGCAGAACGTGGCTTTAGTCAGATGAAGGGCACTAAGTCACAAATGCATGCCAAGGTCAAGGCTGATAGCATGACAGATCTCCTGATAATTCAGCTGAATTCTCCAGACACTTATAACTTTGACCCTAGGAAAGCCATTCACTGATGGAATACAAGAACGCCATCTTCAACTGATGACAAAAGACCTACCTCGGATTGTTCATCAAACTCAGAAAGGCTTGACGAAAGCGATTAGTAATGTGACAAATGTTGACCTCATCACTGATCGTAGCAAAAAGAACTATTTTCAAAAACCCGAAAGTTAAAAGTAAAAGTCGCCAGTCTTCATATCAAACACAAAAGGCATTTGGCATCATCCAGACCTACAGAGCAAAAATCCAAAGACTGGTTTTCCTCTGACTTTCTAATTCTAGTTCTTTATTCACACATTCTTTCACATTCTTTGGGTGAAGTATATACTTCTAAGCAATGGTATTATTTTGATGTCTTCTTTCTGAGAGTTACTGCTAAGGGTAACTAGACTATAATTATGATCTGAGTTCCTTTAGGCCTGGCGTACAATTAACTTTTTCCTGGATAATTCTAAATGACGGTTGCATTAGGTAACTAACTTAGGGCCAAATGGAAAGAGAATATTTTTTGATCTGTAAACAAAATTTGTAAGCTTATCTGTTTCCGCTACTGCATTATATGTGAAGGCCATATTATTATATGCCTTGGTCATTTAAGTAACGAGGCCAAATGTCAAAATAGTTTTCACATTTCACACTAGGGTTCCCAGATAAACAATTCCTATGTGAACTGAAAGTATTTTCTTACACTTTGCTTGCACCATAGCTGTTAGAGACAGTGGAAATATTTTATGTATCTACCAGAATTTTTAAATACTTTGAGCCTCTTCATGGTTTCAATTGAGTTTATTCGTGGTTTCATCTTGAGAAACATGAATGGATAATTTCTAACTTGTCTGTAAACCAATATAGTATCATGTAAAGATCATTTTACCAGAAGTTCCACTACCTGGGAAAGTTATTCTCATCTCTATAAAATTGGATACTCAGGTTTGATCAAAAAGGATAGAGAATTTATTTCTGAACAACCTGTTGGATATACAGTCTTATCAAAGAAAGAAAGATTCTGCTCTTGCTACCAAGAAAATTGCTTTCCAGATCTGAACCTTGCACATGTTATTTGAACGACTGACATTTTAAAAGGATTACTACATTTTCCTAAAGTTTAGAGGAAATGATAAAGTTCATGTTGGACTTTAGAAATGCTAAAAACTTAGATATGGGAAGAAAAATTTGAGATTCTACATCTACGTTTCACTCTTTTTTTGCGGTACGCGGGCCTCTCACTGTTGTGGCCTCTCCCGTTGCGGCGCACAGGCTCCAGACGCGCAGGCTCGGCAGCCATGGCTCACGGGCCTAGCCGCTCCGCGGCACGTGGGATCTTCCCAGACCGGGGCACGAACCCGTGTCCCCTGCATTAGGCAGGCGGACTCTCAACCACTGCGCCACCAGGGAAGCCCCTGTTTCACTCTTTTTATTCCTAAACAAAGAAGAATAGCTATATACTCTGGACCTGAAAGATACCCGAATACATGTAGGAGTGTCTCCTGGTTCTAGAAGGTACCGACACTATGGGAGTTAGACATTTTTTTAAGGAAATACATTCATTTTGCTTTCCTATTTGTTTTTTGATGCATGTGCATGCAATTTGAAATGAGCAAAGACTAAACAAACATCTCAAGGTAAAGTAGTTTAGTGTTTAAGAGCAAAAGGCTTTAAAAGGTTAGTTATCTTTTATAAAATATATCACAGTGTTTGAGCCAATTAGATGACTAAATTAGCACTTCAAATCTAGTAATTTAATAATTCAAATATCCCGACATTTACCAAACTAAATATATTCTGACCTAAAAAAGCAAAATGAGGATAAATGTGTTACCTTGATCACAATGGTGATGTGCATGCGTTTGAAACACCTTTATCCCATATTTACCAAAACATTTTACTCTAGTGCCCTGCTGAAAAATAGGAACCCTTGCAGTAGTTTTTTGTTTGTTTGTTTGTTTTTTTGTGGTACGCGGGCCTTTCACTGTCGTGGCCTTTCCCATTGCGGAGCACAGGCTCCAGACACGCAGGCTCAGCGGCCATGGCTCACGGGCCCAGCCGCTCCGCGGCATGTGGGATCCTCCCAGACCGGGGCACGAACCCGCACCCCCTGCATCAGCAGGCGGACTCTCAACCACTGCACCACCAGGGAAGCCCTTTGCAGTAGTTTTTTAAATTCAACCTATTCTGAGTACAAGGTCAAAGAAGACTCCAAACTAAAATATAAAGCCTCAGTATCTTACTCAGGCTGAACAATTTATTACTCACCAAAAAAGACGTGCTGACTTAGCTGAGAAACAACCATTGGAGAAAATCAGGAAATTGATTATTATTTTTATGTTCCCAAAGTGTCTTCTGTTTCTCAAAAGGCTAAAGTTTTAAAGAGAATGAATAAAGTGATTATACAAATATCCATTATTTGTTCTATTTTAGTGAAAGAAACAAATCACATAATAAAACGGAAAAATATTTCTCATTGTATTTTAGGCATAATAGGAAACAAAGCATTTGCTGACGTTCTGCTGGATTTGGTAACCATGAACCTTGGAACAAACAACTTTCCTAGTAGTTGGATGAACCTCACTCAACCTGAAGTAAGCTTCTATTTTGTTTGGATTTCAAGCTTTGAGAATTCTTCTTTAATCAATAAGTCAAGAGTTTTCAGATAACCAGTACCTGCACAGTAACCGACATTTTAGTAGCAGCCAATAAACCTGGATGAACAAATGAATGAACTTCAAGTTAAGACACTTAGTATGTTCATGCTCAGTATTTGAAAATAAGTGACGATGCTGACAGTCAATGAAACACTACAGAGACCATGAGGCTCAGCCAGTGAGTTTGTATTTATTACTACCAGATAGAGTGATCCTAACTAGTAATAGTAGATGATTCTGGCAGTGCTTTCTTTTCCTTGTATTCTGTTCCTTAAGAAAACAAAGTGGTTAAAGAGTATTTCCCTACAAGTTGTAGAGCCCTCCCACACTCGTAATTAGCATCTTTATTCCTTCTCTGCTGAAAAGGTACAAAGTATAGTACAGTCAAAAGTGTTAATTCCTTGTGTAACGGTAAGCAAAAACCACAAATGTCAAGGAAGCAAAAATCAAAAACACTAAGTTCTGTCTGGCGTGGATTGCTTGGTAGAACCTGAGGGAACAAAAGTGAGAACTGACCCTATTGGCCAAGCTAAAATCTTACTTCCTTCATCAGAATCTCTTACTAAGAAACACGAGCAGGTAGAGTGTCACAAGAGAGTCATACAAACATTCCAATGGCATTTCCTGCTTTCTTCTAGTTGCAGGAGTTAACATCTTTATTGGTAACAAACTCGGAGTTCGTGGACTGGCGGAAATTCTTGTTAGTAGTCGCGCTGCCTTGGCCCATTCCTCTGGAGGAGGAACTCTTGGAGACCCTGCAGAGGTTCCAGGCTGTGGATGAGGAACACCTGGGCACAGTCACTTTCGAGCAGTATATGCAGGTCACTACCAGCCCCTGGTGGCACTAACCCTACCAGAGTACTTCTGACCTAAGAAGCTCCCTGATCTCACAACACCAGGTCTCACGGCCCATGTCTAGGCACCTAGAGTCAGCACAGGCACTGTCCAAGTCCCAGGTAGAAGTCTGGCTCCCACCCCCAGGGAAGGGTCTGAAAAAGTCAGAACTGCTTGGAGAGATAAGGGTTCTGAAAGAAATCACAGAAAACATCATTGTTGTCCTACCAAGTGGTTCTTAACCTTGGCTGTACATTAGAATCGCCTGCAGAGCTTTTCATCAGCCCAATGCCCAATACCAAATACTCCGGGAGTAGCAACAGCAGTTACAATGAACACAGGGAAAGGGGCAGGGTTTTTTATTTTTTTCTTTCGGTCACAAGCGTGGTGAACGGTAAGATGTTTTTGGACACGTTGAGTTTGAAATGTCTGTGGGAAATGCAGACAGAAATGTCCCATCTGATATGGCAGATGCAGAAGCCAATCACTATCACGTAGGCAGTTGTTGGGGTTATGAATGGACCAGATCACCCGAGGGAAGTGTGTAAAGTGATGGATAATCCAGTAACATGGTACCTAGCCATTGGACTTGTAGATAGGATGTAACTACTGACCTTCACCAGAGCAATTTTGGGAGCGTACAGAGTCTAGATTGCAGAGGATTGATGGAATAAATAGGCCTTTAAGAAGTGAAGACAGTCGATTCATTTTTGAGAAGCTTGAGTAAGGAGGGAGGAAGAATGAAATGCCATAACTAAGAAGGGCCTGAATGACTTATTTTGTGTCTACTAATCGAATTCATCCTAATTCTCACCACTTCACATTGCTGGTAGACACGAAAGGTGGAAACATTTATAAGGTGCTGACTTTGAAACAGGGTGATAATCTCTAGGTGCCTGTAGCTCATGTATATTTCACCATTGAAAGATCACATCTCTTCTTGCTTCTCTTTTCTTCCTTGATTAATGAAAGACGTGCTCATAGACGGCCCTGACGTTCCCACGCTCAGACAGTTGAGCCAGAGGAAATAGCACTTCCACATCGAAGAGGTTCTTCCAGCCTGATCAAGAAAGGCGCATAGCTGATTGGGCTCTAATTTATGTACTTCCCAAGTAGAGCACTTTGTGAATTCTTTCACTGTCCTGGACCTGGGCTTACAACTTATAGAGATGTTTTGTGTAAAAACATAAACAGCAGGGCAAAACTTACTCTATTTTCTTGTTGGCTTAAGATTTTTAAAAGTGGGCACTCGTGAATATACCAACATTCACTCTTTACAGTATGTGCCAATGAACACAGGTTGTCAATTTAAACATCTTTTTGCACAAACGTGAGACGAACTTAGGTGTTCGTAATTTGTACCACAGTGCTGAGCAAAACCAGAAAGCTCCCTCACCAAAAGTGTGAATTTCTTAGAGAAAGTTGGCTGCTGCATGAAACAGAAACTCAGAAATACTTATCAGAACACTGCCTGGGTTTTGGGAGCAGTTGATTTCTGAGCTCTGCCCTCTCAGCTTACGCACCCAACGCCCACTCCTCAAGAGGCTCAGGACAAGGTGGCCATTTGGAGAGGCCCGCTTGACCTCCCCACATGACTCACAGATCTCTAGCGCTCTCCACATCACACACACAGAGTTCTTTCATGGGACTGTCAAAACAGCTTCTAGGGTAAAATCTTATGATTTGTTGAAAATGCCACCTTCGAATACAGTAGTCAAATAGTACAACTACACTGCTGAAATGAAGTTCTCTGGGGGGAAAATAAATAAATAAATAAGCTCCCTACTCTGCTTTTTATTTTGCCTTTTTTCTTTTCTTTTGACTAACTGCAAGTTCATCATAACCGCCACTTAAGAGTGTGCTGATTTCCCCAGCTTCTAAAATGGAATAAGATACAGCGTTTGTGAAGCTGCTGCGGCTGCATACCTGGGCTAAGCCACGCGAGGATAAAAGTGCACCTGCCTTTGCTCCAGCCCTATTGCAGCTGTCACACTCTTGCCTCTGTCACGTGTGGATGTTTAGTCACACTCATGCAGAATGCTTTGATGGTGAACTCTCTAAACTCATCTTCTGTCAATGAGAATGCAGGTTATCATAGGCTTAATGAATCAGATGTTCTAGGATCCAAACAGCGCAGCACTTGCTCTCTAAGGGAAAGTAAACTAACCTAAAATTCTTTGACCATATTTTATTTATTCTTTGACCAAATGTCCACAAAGGACATTTCCACATTTCAAGGATAAATCACCTGATTATCCAGTGGGGCAAGATGTGGCTGACTGAACCTTGCTTGATCAATTTAAACCCAACCTACAGTTCACATTTAACATTTCACACTGCTAACGTTTTCATGGATGACTTTTTTAAAAATATAAGTTGTTCTCTGATTAGGTTCTTTCTTCTTTCTCATGTGACCCTCTTGTATGTGAAACACTTTGAAACAGTTTCCTAATCTTTAAAATATCATCTATTTTTTAAAAACTAACATGACTGAATTCTTGGTTTTAAGAACAAGGGAAAATTCCTGTGCATTGAAAGAATTGCGTATGGAATTGATGGTTGAGAAACCAGAGATGAGTAGGAAACCTTCTTTTAATATTTCCTCTTTATCACTGGTTTTCAGCAATTTGATTATCGTGTTCCTCGGTGTGCTTCTGTTCATATTTCTTTTGCTTGTGTTTCACTGAGTTTCCTGCACCTGTGGGCTTGCCGTTTTTGTCAAATTTGGAAAATTTTCAGAAATGTTTTTCCAAATATTTTTCCTGTACTCCCCTCCCCCATTCTCAAAATCCAGTCACATATTTGCCCCACAGAATGCTGACCCTGGATTCTTTTTTCTTTCCATTTTTTTTCCTCTCTGACTTTATTTCGTATTCATTTCTACTTCTCCATCTTCTAGTTCACTGATCATTTCCTTTGCAGAGTCAAATCTATTATTAATACAATCCAGTGTATTTTTATTTGAAATATATTTTTGATCTCTTTAAATTGGGTCTTTTTATATCCTTCATTTCTCTCTTCATTATATGCATTTTTCTCTGTCTCCTTGAATAAATGAAATATATTTAGAACAGCTAAATGAACATCCTTGTCTGTTCATTCTATCACCTGTGTATTTCAGTGTTTGTTTCTATTGATTGAGGTTTCTTCTGACTATGGGTTATATTTTCTGGCTTTTTTGCATGCCTTTGTACAGGATGCCAGATGTTATAAATTTTATATTGGTGGGTGTCCAATTTTATATGCCCTTAAATATTGTCGGGCATGCAGTAATGTCATTTGCAATCAGTTTTATCCTTTCAAGGTTACAGTAAGATTGATAAGGGTGGGTCCAGGCAACCTTTAGTTTAGGGCTAATCTAGCCCCACTACTAAGGCAATATCCTCCTGGGGGTGCTACCCAATGCCTTGTGTATCAGGAGGTCCTTCCACTCTGCCGAGTGGTAACATTTTCCCTGGTGGTAACATAGTCCCAGCCCTGTGTGAGACTCAGGAACAGTTCAGCTTACTCCTTTCCTGTGGTTCTTTCTCCAGCTTCTGGCATTTTCCACACATACATCCAGAGGTTGGCTTTCAGTCAAGACTTGAGGAGATCTTTCTACAGATCTCTAGGGCTCACCCTCTCTTTCAATGCATCTCTAGTGTTTTGCCCTGAAAATTCTAGTCATCGTGGCCTCCCCCAGCTCCAAATCTATCTTGTCAATCCAGCAAGATGTGCCAGCTCTATCTGGGTGCCTCTCCTGACACTGTAGCCTGAGCAATACTTGGGTCCTCATTGTTCTCCTTATTTCAGGAATTACTGTCCTGAGTTGCCTGTTGTCTAACATCTGAAAAAATTATGTTACATATATATTGGATTTTTTTTTTTTATTGTTTAAGGCAGGAGGGTAATTCTGAGTTTTGTCACTCCATCATGACCTGAAGCATAAATCTTACCTACATTCCTCATCTCTCTATTCTCCATGGAGTGGTACTTATGGTCCACAGATTGGCCACTGGGCAAGGATTCTTCCCAGTCAGTGCAAAGCACTTACATTCAAAGCCCGAGCCCGTGCTGGACCTTAGCTTCTTCTGTGTCTTCTCCCTCACAGGCTTCTGCATGGCCAGCACTCCTCTGTTCTAAATGAAAAGAAAACCCGGTCCTCACCTCTGGGGGCTGCATCCCCTTACAAGCTACCTAGTGTCACTCCAGCCTTCTCTCAAAACACGGGTGATTCTTCGAAGGAAAGAAGGCACAAGCACAGGCCAGAGTCAGGTTAGGCTGGCCAATGGTTCTTGGAAGTAGGCAGTGCCAAGGGTAGATTGTCACTCTGGAAGATGGTAAGGGAGAAAGACCTAGGAACAAGATGCTTATGTATATGAAGTGCTTGACATGTTTAAAAGTTAAGATTGGCAAGACACATTCTTTGAACCCGAGGAATTAATACCTGATGTTCAGTAGCAGACATGAATGAAAACACCCAAAGGAATGAACTGAATGCCAAATATCTGGTATAAACAAGTCAAATTGGAGTTTCGAGGAGAGATCAAAGAGGGCTTCCCTGAGGAGGTGTGATCTAAGCTGGGTCTGGAAAGATGAGTAGGTTTACATTGGTGAACAGGCAGTCGCCTCAGGTAGGAGTAATGATGTGAGCAAAAGAGCAAGAGTAGGAAATGGTTCTAAGCAGAGAATGACATGACAAGATTAAAGTTTTGATAAAACTGATATAGTCAAATGGTCTGAGCTGAAACAAATAAGAGAAAGACTGGAAATGAAGACAGCTCCGAGGTTGCTGGAGCAGCCTGTGATGGAGGCAATGAGGCTGTACACCAGCATGGCAGCAGTAGACGTGAGAGGAAGGGAGAGGGGGTGAGGCATCGCCAAATGGGAACCGAAGGATTTGGTAATTAGTGTCAGACATGGGCTGAGAATGAAGGTTGTCATTAAAAAGTAGGTCCTGAGCTCTTGATTCAGTCAGTCACTCACTCAGCAAAGATTTCCAACACCAACAATATGCCCCAGCACCACACTAGGCTCTGAGAACAGAGAGCAACATGAACAGGACATGAGCGATATGAGCTAGTGGAGGGCACTGACCCCTCCAAAGTACTGCTATGCAAGCAACGTCCGGGGCGGCGACCTCCCAGCTTCATTGCATGCTGCAACAGTTACAGTACAGCAGGCACCCCAGTATGTGGGGTTTCATTTATAAATTATTCATGTGTACTACTGCACTAATGCATTCTATACATTATCAAATTTTTTTAAATAAAAATTACAAAAGAATGAGATCCAATACATGTGAAAGGAAGTCCTAGTATTTTCTCCAGCATCCCCATGGTTTCTGCACCCTACTTTGGAGACCACTGCTCTAGGCACCTACAGAGATGGCTTCAATCTCTGTGGTTTTCAGAGGAACAATTACATCTCAGTGTAACTTTAATGATTCTCATTTTTGTTTTCTGTGTAGGCTGGTCTGTGGTTTACGGGAGATGAAGATATAAAAATTCCAGAAAATCCCCTTGAACTTCTGCCATTCAATAGGCAGGAGCATCTTATAGAGGTAATTCCATAACATTGATCCATTTCTTGTCTTTTCTCCCACTTGTGTAATTAGTCTTAGACTCCACCCTGACTCCCGGGTCCTTTGCTGTATCCCCCAAGTGCAGAGTTTAATATTCACTATGGCGACATCATAGGAGAGTCTGGAGGGAAGCAGGGACCAAAATCTTAGACAGGCTTCTCCTGTTTACTCACTATGTGATCCCAGACAATATCTATAAGCTCTCCGGGTTTCACTCTTCTCATCTAGCAAATAAGCTGGTACTGAACACGCTTTTCGCTAAATGCCCTTCCAATTGTAAAAGCTTTGGATAAGAACTGACTTTCACCAGTATATGTCTTTGTTCATTTCTCTTTGACTTTGACTAACTTGAGCAACATTCCAAGAGTTTGCCTACTGTATTGCCCACTACCCGTCGGATTATCATTATTATCATCAGAAGTACCATCACCATTATCGTCATCATTAGCTTCTATCCCTGAGGCCACAATAGAATGCGAGTCCTTAAAATCTGAAAACCATTCTGACTTCAACACATCCAAGCTCAATAAAATATGAGAAAAGTCGAATGGTAGATTCAGACATGAGAGCAAACTTTGTATATCGATTGATCAATTCAGCCTGCCATGAGTTAAAAACTGCAGTGCAAAATTGAACATGACTCCAGTCGTAACCTGAAAGTGAGCAATTCCCTTCCATTGGACGCATATTCTTTGAGCATCTCTCTTAGATGCTAGCAGGAGAGCAGGTGAAAGAAAGGGGTCAGGGAGTTACCAAAAAGTGTCCAAGACATGAGGCCGGCAGTTGTACGGGCAGTTTTTTGTTTTGGTTGTTGGTTGTTTTATAAACTGGAGAACTGAGCTCAATTCTCCTGTAAACCTTTGGAAGGTGTCTCTATATGATTCTTTGAACAAATCTGTCAACAATATAAACAGGTTCTTCCTTCCTTGGGAAGAAGCCAGCAGTCTGAATACGATGTCAAGTAACTTCCTTTTCAGCCAGAAGTTTTTAGAAGTGTTTATCAGAGCGGAGCCCTTCCATGGCTCACAGAGCTGCTAAAGGCGGGAGACAGCCTGTGTTGGTCAGCCCGAGGACTGCGACACAGTGAGGCCGGAAAGGGCCTTGGGATGCCAAGGAAGGGTGTGGCTCCCACCTGCTGCTCCCCAAGCTGCTGGAAAGTGAACATAGGAAAGGAACAAAGTGGGGGGCAGAGGCAGGACCACAGAGCCTGAGAAAGAAGCGCTCTTACAGGGCAAAGGATGGTTGACAGGTGTGTGTGTGTGTGTGTGTGTGTGTGTGTGTGTGTGTGTGTGTTGTCCAGAGGACAAAAGAGGGTGGTGTCCTCTCTGCCCCATGGACTGGATGCTCAGCATTTCATAAATCTCAACGCCCTTCAACTGGGATTAAAAGCACAGATGCCACGGCTGACAAGCTGCGAGGTCTTGATGGAGTTACCTACCCTCTCTGTGCTGTGGTTTTATTTTCATCCCTCTCTGCTGGGAGTGTTGTGCAGCATGAGTTCATATGTGTGGTACTTTTAGAACAGTGATTGGCACACAGTTAGCCCGATGTCAGTGTCAGCTAAACAGAAGCTAACCACTCTAACTCTACATGGTAAAACACCAGTTAATGGTTAAGAAGCTAAAGAAAGGGGTGCAAAGGGAAAACATAAAACAATATAATACGTTTACTTTTTTGGCCATAATTAGAGTGAGTAAAGACCAAATCAGGGGAAAAAACACCCCATGAAGAGGGCTTGGCCTACGATCTAGCTGGCCACACCCAGCTCCCCTGCTTTGTCATCTGTGTTCTCTACAATCCAGGGCCTCCAGGGGTCCCAGGGACAGACTGTAATTCCTGCTGTCTGTGGGCTCAGATGACCTCAGAGTCCTAGGCACTGGGTAAGATGTCCAGTTGCATCCATAAAAGGAACCCTGAGACACGTCTGTGTTGCAATCACATCGTTGTCCCCTGACAGTGACAACTCACTTCCTTATAACTGACAAGGTTCAGCCATGGCCTGGCTGCCCAGCTTTCCACACAACATCAAGAGCAACTATTCCAGTGTTTTAAAAATTCATAGGGATTTCTTGAGAAAAGGCAATTTAATCTCACCATATGCAAATTCACGGTTTTTTCTTAATCTCTTCTCCACAGCTTCCGTCCACATGAAATCCTTCTATGTCTTTGGGCTGTTAATATTTGTTGAAGCCAGGCTCGTGGTTTGAAATACTAGCTTTTTGCTAACAAATCCCAAGTGTCTATTTCCACCACCCCTAACCTCTCTTCCAAACGTTAGACTCCTAGACACGACTGTCTATTGGACATCTCCACTTGAATGTTCTTGTAGACATTTCAAACTCATCATGTCCAAGACTGGGTCCCTGACCTCCCATCCCCACCACCCCACTGCCCCACCTTCACCTAGAGCCCTCTCCATGTTGGTCAGTGGCAACTCTGTCCTTCCTCTTGCTCAGGCCAAAACCCTAGGAGTCATCCCCAGTTCTCTTCCCACATCCAGTCCTTCAGGAAATGCCCGTAGTTCTACCCTCAAAATACGTCCAGGATCAGACCACCTGTTCCAAGTCCCATTGCTGTCACTGAAACAAACCAGCCAACTTCACCTGCATGACAGCAGCGGCCTCATCACAGGTCCTCCATGTCTCCCTTGTCTTGGCTCAGGTCACAGGCGGATCACAGCGGCCTCTGCTCCAGCCATCCCACAGCACTGCGTTTTAGTCAGAGGAGAACCCAAAGTCCTCAAGAAACCAACCGGCTTTGCCTCTTCTGTCCCCTGCCTCAGCCACTCTGGCCTCCTCCGTGTTGATCAAACGTGCAGGCGCGCTCCTACCTGAGGACACTGGCCTCAGCGCTCTCCTCTGCCTGTGTGGCCCTTCCCCTGCGCGTCCTACCTGCCTACTCCCTGCGCACCTCCAACCTTTGTCCAATTTCATCTTCTCAATTCTGCAACCTGCCCCTCTTCCCCACCCTTCACTCCAATTCCCCTTTCCTTGACCTACATTTTTCCCTGTGTTTCCATAATGACTATCTAATTTACTTTATTTATTCTGTCTGTCTTCCTCTTCTAGAAATTAAGCTCCTCAAAAGCACGCATCTATCTCTTTCCTAGTAAGTGCATTTCTAGAACAGTCTAGAACAGTCCTAAGTACTTTTCTGGAGCCGTCTAAGGTTCTGCACAGCCAATAAGTACTTGTTGAATGAATGAAACCATAGTATTTGTGTTGGGTTTTGAGTCTATGTAACAAATTTCCACAAATATAGTGGCTTAAACCAAGGCCCAGTTATTACCTCAGAGTTTCTGTAAGTCAGAAGTCCAGTCATGGCTTAGCTGGGTCCTCTGCTCAGGGTCTCAGAAGGCTAAAATCAAGGTGTCAGCTGGGGTTGCAGTCTTAGCTGAGGCCAATTCCAATATTGGTTCCAGGACTGGCTTCCAAGGTGGGCTGCTGGCAGAATTCAGATCCGTGCAGTTGTAGGACTGAGAACTTCAGCTCCGAGAGGCTGCCTATTGTTCCCTGCCACACGCCCTCTCACAGTTTCAGAGTTTGCCTCTTCATGGCCAGCAGGAAAGCATCTTGCTGGCTTCAAATCTCTCCCTGAAGTCCTGGGTCCTTTTTAAAAGGGCTCACATGATTAGATCAGAGCCCAAGGTCGAGCTCTCGTTTGATTAACACAAAATCAACTGATTAAGGACCTTGTGTCTGCAAAATCTCTTTACCTTTACTCCTGAAAATTGGCTTTCCATCACATTTACAAATCCCACCCATACTCAAGGGCAAGGTATTATACAACATATGTATTTGAGGGGGTTTTCCAGGGAAACTCTGAAGCCTCCTTAGGAGTCTTCCTATAACAACATTTTAAATGATCTTAAGAACATAGCAGGCCTCAACTTTTTTGAATGTCTCATCCATTGGCTTAAAATCAAGCCTGTGTAATTACAGGAAGAGTTCACATGTCAACTTATTTTATTTTTGCCCATCTTCCTTCAATATATCACATTGAACTTCTTTGTTAATGGAAATAATGTGTTGCACCTACACAGACTTTTTAAGAGCATTTCAATGAAAATAGTATTAAAGTTCAAGGATTCATATGAAAGAAATGGAAGATAAACATGAAAGAACAGTGCCATGGTTATCTGTTGGTGTCAGCTCCCTTCTACCCCTAGTCCTGCTGGGAATCCCTGAGGACTTCCAAAGGCAAGTGGGAAGATGAAGAAAATATAAGGTCCTAAAGGAACCCAAAAGCTGGATCATGACTCTTCAAATGCCTAAGGCTACCTTACCATCAGAGAGTGTTTTGAAGCATCTGAGCCTAGCTACGTGCCACAGCAGACCCTCAGTAAACGTTTGATAAAAAGGGGTGACTGAATGAATGAGCTTGCAGAGCCCATTGACCTCTAAGATTCTTTTCAGATTCATAGCATAACAGACTTCATGTATTTTCCTATCAAAGTTATTTTTATTTAAATTTTATTGGATTTGTCAAATACAAAATAATTTTTCCAATTGTTATCTCATGGATGTATAATTAGACTTGCTCATAGTTGTAAGGACTGTCAGTAATAAAGAATAACATGGTGTCTCTAGATCTAGGCACTTGCTTCTTTAAGTGTAGGCCAGGGCCAGCGTCTTGGGAATTGTATAGGAGCTTGCTAAACATGCAGAATCTGAGACTGCTCCGGAGCCGTTTACTTAAGAAGAATCTACATTTTATTTTATTTTTTTAACGTCTTTATTGGAGTATAATTGCTTTACAATGGTGTGTTCGTTTCTGCTTTATAACAAAGTGAATCAGCTGTACGTATACATACATTTTTAAAAGATTCTCCAGAGGACCTTCAAGATGGCAGAGGAGTAAGACGTAGAGATCACCTTCCTTTCCACAAATACATCAAAAATACATCTACATGTGGAACAACTCCTACTGAACGCTGGCAGAAGACCTCAGACCTCCCAAAAGGCAAAATACTCCCCATG